TGATGTTACTGATGCGGATGGAAAAGTCCATGTTGTTTCTCCTTACGGCGTCTGAAACATTTGTTACTCGAGGGGAGTGAGGGTCTCCTCTGAAACTGAAGATTAACTCCCGGCCTGGCCCTGTCCCCCTGAACCACTCGACCTTCCCAGCGGGGAGCAGGGAGGTCAGGGTGCAGTGAAGAGTGGCCGTCTGTCCGGCCGCCACAGACACCGACTTCTCGGGCTGGATCACCTGCAGTTCTGCCTCACCTGCCACACCTGGGGGGAGAACAAGACAGCGATTTACCATCCTTGTGTGATCCTGTCCGTCCGCTCAAGTATTTAACACAACAGCTCTCACTGAGTGCACACCGTGAGCTCAGCCCGCTGTGTGTACACGGCATGTAGCCCTCGTGATGAGCCTGTCACATGAGACTCTGTTAGAGATGAGGAAAGCAAAACACAGAGAGATTCAGTGATGTGGCACACGGCAGGCAGACGGCCCCAGCCCTCTCTGAAAGCGTCGTGCTTCGCCAAAGGATCCTGCTTGTCTGTGTTCTGGCCCCTTGGGGTGTTACACTCTCTGATCTCTTGCATTCAGTGGGGCCATGAGACTTCTTTAGACCATTGTGTGTGAGCGGAAGTGATGGATGTAGTTTCTGGGCTGTGTGTTTAGCTTCTGGAACCTCTATGGATTAACTTCTCTCTTCCACGAGCACATGTACAGGTGGGGGTCTTATCCATCAATCTGGATATGTGAGAGACAGTGATTGGAAGAGCTGCCAACACATAATAAACATGTAGCTAGCTAAACGAAAGGTAAAGGAGTGTTTAAAATTCCTAGGTTTTTTTTTTACTAGAAAGCAATCATATTATATTAAAATATTTCCTAACGCAGTGAAACAAATGATTAAAAATGTAGTGCCTGAAAACTGCATAAAGGTACGATTTTGTTATTCTGGAGATTAAGAGTCCAAAATTGGTGTTGCTGGGCTCAACACAAAGGGCAGCTGAGCTGTATTTCTTCTGGATGTTGTTCCTTGCCATCCAAATTCTAGAAGCTGCCCACAATTCTTTTCATCTTCCCAATTTTCTATCATTCCAAATTCTCGCTTGTATTGTTACTTGTCATTCTCTAACTTTGACTTTCCTGCCCCCTTCTTATAAGGACTCTTGTGAATAAAATGGGGCCACGGTGATAATCTGGGATAATCTCCTCATGTCAAGAGTCTAACCTAATCATTTTGGCAGAATTTCTTTGGCTGAATAAAGAAAAATATTCACATTTTATGTATATTAAGATGTGGTCATCTTGGAGAAGCCATTGTCCTGTCTCCCACACATGTCTGCCCAGATTGTTACAGAAACCAGTTACCATAAAAAATGAAACGAAACAAAACAAACAAACAAACAAAACCTTTGTATGAGTCCAAATTATACAGGCTGAGGAGGCACCATACTGCAATCTGGAAGAAGGGCTTTTCAAGCAGTGAACTGGTGAGAGTTGTGAAATAAAACTAGAAATCAACAACAGAAGTGAAATTGAATCTTCTCCAATGTATTGAAATACAAGGACACACTCTTAGGGAAATTAGAGAACACCTTGAGATGAATGGAAATGGAAATACAACATGCCAAAACCTACACTCTGCACTGAAAGCCACCATGGAGGGAAATTTATATTTGTAATGCCGACATTTAAAGAGAGGAAAGATCACAAGTCATTAACAAGTATACAGCTTAATAAATCAGGAAAAGAAGAAGAATTAACACAAAGCAAGCAGAATGAAGGAAATAAAAAGGACTAATGTAGAGATAAGTAAATTGTGAATACATGAACAACAGAGAAAATCAGTAAACCCAAGAGTAGCTCTTCAGAAACCAACATAGTTGACAAAACTTTAGCTAGATTGAGTAACAGAGAGAAATTGAGAAGATTTCATTAACTGAAATCAGATATAAGAGAAAGACATTATTAAGTATTTTTCTATAAATGCACAGGATTCTAAAAGAGTACATCGAACAATTGTACACCAATAAATTGGAAAACCTAGAGTAAATGGACAAATTTCTAGACACATACAATTTACCAAGACTGAATAATGAAGACTAGAAAAATGAACAGGATATCGCTAGTAAGGAGTTTGAATCTATCAACAATTTCCCAACAAAGAAAAGCCCATGATCATGAAGATTCACTGGTGAATTCTTCCAAACACTGAAAGATAAACTTAACACTAATCCTTTTCAAAGTATTCCCAAAAATAAAAGCGGTAGGAAGACTCCTAAGTTATCGGGTCATCCTGAGACTCATTCTCAGGGCAGTGTTATCCTGAGACCAAAGCCAACAAAGGCACTACAACAAAACTACAGACCAGTGTCTTGTCTGGATATTGATGCAACAATGCTTGACAAAACATTAGCAATTACAACTCAACAGCATATTAAAAGAATTATACACAATGACCAAGTGGGATTTCTTTCTGGAATGTAAGAAGGATTCAACATATGAAAATTATACAGTGTGATAGGCCACATTTATAGAATAAAAAAAATAACATAGTCATCATTTGATGCAGAAAATTATTTGGCAAAAGTCAAACTTTTTATGATAAAAACAATAAAAAAAACTCAGAGTAGATGGAAGCTTACACAAAATATAAAGTCATATATGAAGAACCTATAGCTGACATCACCTTTGATGGTGGAAATCTGAACAAGGCAAGGATGCCTGCTTTCAGCACTTCCATTGAACACAATACTAAAAATCCTAGAGAATGCAATTAGGCAAGAAAAAGAAATAACATTCAAATTGCAAAGGAATAAGTGAAAGTATTTCTTTGCACATGACATGATTTCATGCGTTGCAACCCTAAAGTTTCCAAGTGTAAAAACAGTTAGAGATAATAATGAAATCAGCTAATTTGTGCTATACAAAACCAACAGTCAAAAATCAGGTGCATTTGTATATGCTATTGATGAACAATCATAAAGAATTTTGCAAACCATTCCACTACGCAAACATCAAAAAGTATAAAATATATAGGAATAGTTTGTGCACGGAGATCAAAGGCCTGTATGCCAAAAAGTACAAAACATTGTGGAAAGAAATGAAATGTGATATAAATAAATGGAAAAACAAATACCATTTGTGGATTGGAAGAGTTCATCGATACTACCTAAAACGATCTCCAGATTCAATACAATCACCTTTTTTTTTTTTTTGCAAATTTCAGAAGCCCTTAAAAATTCATATACGATCTCAAGGGAGCGCAATCATCAAGCAATCCTTAAACAGAACATAGTTGGAGAATTCATATCCTTTTTTAAAAAATTTATTTATTCAAATTCAAGTTAGTTAATATACAGTGTAGTGTTGTTTTCAGGAGTAGAATCCAGGGATTCATCACTTACATATAACATTCAGTGCTCATCCCAACAAGTGCCCTCCTTGTTGGCCCTCACCCATTTAGCCCATCTCCCCACCCACCACCCCTCCAACAATCATCAGTTTGTTCTCGGCATTTAAGAGTCTCTTGAGTTTTGCCTCCCTTTCTGTTTTTATCCTATTTTTCCTTCCCTTCCCTATGTTCAATAAATGTGGAATTTATTTCTTAATTTCCACATATGAGTAAATCATATGATATTTGTCTTTCACTGCCCGACTTATTTTACTTAGCATAATACACCTAGTTCCATCCACACTGTTGCAAATGGCAAGATGTCATTCTATTTGATCACCCAGTAATATTCTATTGTACATATATACCACATCTGCTTTATCCATTCATCAGTTGATGGACATTTTGTCTCTTTCCATAATTTGGCTATCATTGATAGCGCTGCTATAAACATTGGGGTGCATGTGTCCCTTTGAATCAGCATTTTTGTATCCTTTGTATCAATACCTAGTAGTGCAATTGCTGGGTCACAGGGCAGTTCTATTTTTAATTTCTTGAGGAACCTACATACTGTTTTCTATAATGGCTGCACCAGTTTCCATTCCTAAAAACGCTACAAAAATGGTCCCCTTTCTCCACATCCATCCAACATCTGTTGTTTCCTGTGTTGTGCATTTGAGCCATTTTCCCAGGTGTGAGTTGGTACCTCATTGTGGTTTTTGATTTGTACTTCTCTGATGATGAGTGATCGTTAACATCTTTTCATGTGTTTGTTAGCTATCTGGATTTTTTTTTTTTTTAAATATCTATTCATGTCTTTTGCCCGTTTCTTCACTGGGCTATTTGTTTTTCCGGTGTTGAGTTTGATAAGTTCTTTATAGATTATCTGATATGTCACTTGGAAATATCTTCTCACATTCTGTCAGTTGCCCTTTAGTTTTGTTGATTATTTCCTTCACCGTGCAGAAGATTTTTATCTTGATGACGTCCCAATAGTTCATTTTTGCTTTTATTTCCCTTGTGTCTGGAGACACGTGTAGTAAGAAGTTGCTGTGACTGAAATCAAAGTGGTTGCTGCCTGTTTTCTCCTCTAAGATTTTGATGGTTTTCTGTCTTGCACTTAGGTTATTCATTTATTTTGAATTTATTTTTGGGAATGGTCTAAAAGTGGTCCAGGTTCATTTTTTTGCTCATCGCTTTCCAGTTTTCCTAGCAACATTTGCTGAAGAGAATGCCTTTTTTTTCCATTGGATATTCTATCCTGCTTTGTCGAAGATTATTTTTTTTTTTTTAATTTTTTTTTCAACGTTTATTTATTTTTGGGACAGAGAGAGACAGAGCATGAACGGGGGAGGGGCAGAGAGAGAGGGAGACACAGAATCGGAAACAGGCTCCAGGCTCTGAGCCATCAGCCCAGAGCCCGACGCGGGGCTCGAACTCACGGACCGTGAGATCGTGACCTGGCTGAAGTCGGACGCTTAACCGACTGCGCCACCCAGGCGCCCCTGTCGAAGATTATTTAGCAATATATTTGTGGGTCCATTTCTGTGTTCTCTATTCTGTTCCATTGATCCGTGTGTTGGTTTAATGGGAGTACCATAGTGTCTTGATGATTCCAGGTTTGTAATAGAGCTGGAAGTCTGGACTTGTGATGCCTCCAGCTTTGGTTTTCTTTTTCAACATTACTTTGTCTATTCAGGGTCTTTTCTGGTATCATACAAATTTTAGAATTGTTTGTTCTAGCTCTAAGAAGGATGCTAGTGTTATGTTGATAGGAATTGCATTAAATGTGTAGATTGCTTTGGGCAGTATAGACATTTTGACAGTATTTGTTCTTCCAGTCCATGAAGATGGAATGTTTTTTCATTTCTTTGTGTC